GGGGTGCAGACACAGGAGATGTAAGAAGAGAGGTGCCTATCACACAGCCTGTAGGTTGAGTGACAGGCCATTTGTTTGTGTTCTGTAAACACTGTGACTGACTCCAGGGGAATGTAGCTTTAGCTCATTGGCACATTTAGGCCTTAAGTCACTGATCATTTCACTTAGGCCAATGAAAAGCCAAAGGCTGATACTAACTTTCAGACACTGTGAACTAGTGGCTAGAGTACTGGAGTGGTACTCAGAAAACCTGGGTTCAGTTTCTGGCTTTGTTGGTGACCTTAGGCCAGTCATGTGCCTCAGTTTCTCAATCTCTAAAACATTACCAACTTCCTTTGTAAATTGCATTGAGATCTACAGATGAAAAATGCTATTGCTATTGTTGCCACCGTCGTAGGGCAGATTGGATCCATTGATTTAGGGGCAAAAGACGCTGTGTATCCCGTCACAAATCCTGAGCCATCCAATCTCATGACATAAAGCTGAGCTTATTTCATACGGCTATGACACGGAGTACATAGAGTAATTAAAGTACTTCAAATGGAAAAAAACTGCATGGATGAGACTAAAGAGTCACACAATTCCCCTCCCCCCCCCCAATAAACCAAGCAAGGTAAATATGTGGCATTACCAAGATGCGTTGATAGTGGGAGGGGTATAAACTTTTTATTGGCACTACTTCAGAATGACCTGCATAGCTCTCTGCAACTTAGGTAGGTTGTCCCAAAACTCATGGCAACAGAATCTTTATAACACCCCATGCTATTTATATGTAATTATAATAATGCCTTTAATTCCTTTTGTGCCTTTTAACAGATGATCTCAAAGACCTTTTACACACATTAATTAATTAAGCCTCACAATATTCCATGAGGTACAATAGGCATTACTGTTCCTATGGCACAGATGGGGCAAATGGGAAGCGTGCAGAGGTGAAATGATTTTCCCAGCCAAAGTCATGTAGTGAGTCAGTAGAAGAAATGGAAAGAAACCCAGTTGTCCTGGTTCCCAGTCACCCGCTTGCTCTAACTCCTCGCCTGCACTGTATACCCAAGTTTTATGTATTGGAATTTTTTTTGGTGTTCAGTGGAATTCTCTTATGGCGGGGTTCTCAAACTGGGGGTCGGAACCCCTCAGGGGGTCGCGATGTTATTCCATGAGGGGTCGCGAGCTGTTAGCCTCCACCCCAAACCCCGCTTTCCATCCAGCATTTATAATGGTGTTAAATATATAAAAAAGTGTTTTTAATTTATAAGGGGAGGGGGTCGCACTCAGAGGCTTGCTATTTGAAAGGAGTCACCAGTATGGAAGTTTGGGAACCACTGTCTTATGGCATAGTTTCTATAAGCAGATTCCAGAGATTTTGTATAAATTTATTACTTATCCTGGAGAAAGCCAGATAAGATCAAATAAACTTCTTATTGCGACTACTTCAGAATGACCTGCATATCTCTCTGCAAGTTATGCAGGTTGTCCCAAACTCATGGCAATAGAATCTTTATAACACCCCATGCCATTTACATGTAATTATAATTATACCTTTAATACCTTGTGTGCTTTTTAACTGATGATCTCAAAGTCTTTTCACACGCATAAATTAATTACGGTAAGCCTCACAATGTCCCATGAGGTAAAATAGGTATTATTTTAATCTGAATTATTTTTAGCTCCTAGCTCGCTAAAATCCCAGGCTAAATGTTGCTTTTTTATCAGTTCTCCTTTTTCGCCTTTACCATGTCCCATCAGTTGGGGTTGGAGACTTTTGTTCTTTATCTCCAAGCATTCTTGTCAAGTGCTTCTTCCAAGCTGACACCAACCTTCTTCATGTCCTCCTTCAGCATCATGAACCACCTTTTTCTAAGTCTTCACATGACCCAACCATCTCAGTTGATACTCCCTCAGCTTTTCCATGATGGGGCCTATCTGCATTATGGCTCATACTGTTTTGTTGCATAGACAATCAGCTCTCATCTTGTCCGGTGTCCACCTGAGCATTGCCATTTTGGGAGTGTGAAGTAGTTTTTTTCTCTCTTCATCATTGGCCAGCACTCTGACCAGTACATACAGAACAATTTTCTAGGAACACTGTCATAAGCCTTCTCTAAATCCACAAACACTCAGTGCAGCTCCATGCATTTCTCCCTGTATGCCTCTTACACTATTTGGGCTGAAAACACTGCATCCATTATTAATTTTCTTGGCATAAACCCAAATTGTTTGTTTCATACCTGATGCTACAGTCCACCCCCGCACCCCCCCCCACCTTCTCCATAATTATTTTCAGGCATTTCACAGTGTGACTCATTAACGTGATGGGATGGTAATTGCTGCATTCTTGCACATCTCCTTTATACTGGCTTTTTATAAGGTAATACACCTAAATCCTATGCAAATTTCAGAGTTCACCTCCACAGATAACCTCACAAAGCAGACACATGGATGTGAGCTGCCAAGTTCCCAGCATCCCATGCCCAGTTACATGCTGTGCAGGGGAGGAAATGCTGCTTAGCAGTAAAGGAATGTCAGGGGAGAGGAAAAGTGAACTCAAAGACCCTTCTTTTTCAGTGTGAAATGCTGTCACGTTTGCTACACTCTGTCACCCCTGTGGGCACTGTTATATAATGCAAGATTAAACTGTGGAAATAGCTCAATAAGATTCAAAGAAGGATGGACACACATGAGTAATTACTACAGCTCTCAATCCCTCTGCTTGTCAACTGGAAGAGATCAGGAAGAAATTCTGTTATTGTCCCATCATACAAATATTACACAACAAGGCAAATTATAAAATCAGCTGCTATCTGAGATAGAATTGTGGACTAGACAGACAAAGAGAGCCAAATTCTGCACTAGTTTCAGCACTGATTATAATGGGATAGTTTGGAGTGCAAGGAAAAGGAGAATATTACTGTCTATCCAGTATGTGTTTTCTATTGTAGTGGTAGAACAAGTTAATCAAGAATACTCCGGGGCAGCATCTGACCACCAAGACTGCAAAAACAAAATTACCCAAATGCAGTGCAAGCCTCACTGGCTTACACTAGTTTTTTTCCAAAAACTTGGAGCAGTGAAGGATTTCTAGGGACAGTTCAATAAGTAAGTCACCAAATTGGAAGATTTCTGGTTTCCCTTCATTTCTGCCTATACATGGATTACAAAACTCAAATCCACAAAGCAGCCTCCTTGTAAAACATTCCCTCCCTCTCCCCAAAGGAAGGGGCTAGATATATTTGGGGAGAAAAAGATTTCCACAGGCTAGTATGACTTAAAACTTTTCTACCTTTAAAAGCATTTTCTCTCTCTTCTGTAATATTACCTCTCCGTAACATTTTGTATTAAAGGCTTGATCAAATTCAGTGGCACCTTATTCAGCAGCTAGGAGGTTAAGCTCTAAGGGCCATCTTTTTGTTCTCTGATTGTACAGTGCTTAGCACAGTGCGGTCTTGCTATTTTAATACAAATAATAACAATAATAATAAAGGGAGAGAATAAAGGTTTAAAGATGAGACTCAGGGCTTCTCTCCATGGGGAAAGTGACTGACAGAACTCTAGTGGTATAAACATAGTGCATCTGCCATAGCTATGCCGGTATAACTCCCTGTGGGGACTTTATTGTATGCCAGTGTTGCTTATAGAAGTGACATAAGCTGTATAGAAGGGGTATTGGAAAGGAAGGAATGTTCACATCCCCCCACAACTATCAAGTGTGTGCATTTGGAAGGGATAAGCCGAAAGGCTGTTTGGATCTCTATGAACATTCAGAAATTATGTATGAAGAGGGCTTTCACAGGCAACTATGAAAAACAAGCTCTCAGAAGCTCTTAGAGCTCTCTAAGTGAATGTGTGCAACACATCAGCCTAAAGACTGTCATCTCTGTAAAGGTCTGCTATAGAAAAATCCCACAGCTCCACAAACTGAGCATGCACAGAGTACACTTCATCCTCATTGCTGAAATGCAGCTGCATCTCCTGCATCTCTTCATACGACAAGAGAAAGGCACCATCAGCAGCAAAGAGCTTGATCCAACACTTACTAAGGTGATGGGCAATATAGTTCATACAGACAAGCTCTGAGCACCTATAACTCCCCCTGGAGAAGAAGATTAAGCCCATTGCTGCTCTGCACCTGGGGTAGTCACCTATGCCTGTGCCAAGTGGGTGCAAAACATCAGTCTGATCCAGTAGCATTTTATACCCACTTGGCACAAGTGGCTGTGCAGGGTGCAGGACAACAATGCTTTGGACCAGCTGTGCTCAGGGAGAAAAGAAAGGCAAAGGGTTTCAGGGAGGTAAGAAGCAATTCCTCTGAAACAAGCCATCATTTTTTCAAAGCAAGCAGTTATGGCAGCACTAACACACACACAATTAGCAAGTACATGAATTTCATGCTGATGCTTCATAAGATGTTTTGCACAAAAACACTTTCATATTGACATGACCTTTCTGAATGGCAGCTGGAGAGGGAGCATAAATGACATATTTTTAAGGGAGTGAAATCAGTACTTGTGAAAGCAAGGAGCAGATACTACTAGTACTATCCTGCAGCCCTTTGTTATTCCAACCTTGGGAACTATAATCAGTTGTCCCGATTCCCTTCAATACTGCCCTACAGAGCTCCCCCTGGCAATTCCAGTCCTGGGAACTTCACACAGTTCTGCCGATGCCTCTCTATCCTAACACGCCCCCTGCTATTCTAGCGCTGCATCCCTCTTGAGCAGAAATTGCATATTGTGCCCAGTTATGCAGTAGGCTTACACAATGCATTCATGGGGACGAAACTGAGACCCACTAAGCTCATTTCACCGATGAGCAGAGATAAAATTTGAAGTCCAGAGATATTCCTCCTTAAAAAAATCTGAAAGAGAGACAAATAGAAAAGTGCGCAAGCACTCGCTGAGTTTATCTACCGTCAGAAAGTCATGGGCAAAGAGACATACAAACTTTAACAAAGAAAGCAGCATGTGGAGGAGAAAAGGCAAGAACGCTGAGCGACACTGTACCTTTTCTGCTGCAGCAGGTGGATTTCATCCAGACGCCGAGCCCAGTATTTTTTGCCTTGTAACTTGTGTCTGAGCATGTTCCAGAGCTGGATGAAAGGTTTGCTATTCCCAGGCAGAGGCAACCCCATTGTCTTTTTCCTTTCTCCTCCTTTTCTTCAGCTGTAGCAGCCTTCTATACCAAAGCAGAAGCCAGCAACCCTCACCCAGAAATATTTAAGGCAGTCTCACTGAATGGCCCTGGGCTGACTCTCCTCTCCCAACTACTGCCCGGGATCGCCTATACGCAACTAGCTCAGATGTAACAGTTCAAAAAGAAAAATGTAAAAAAAATAAGCTCTCTAACAGTAACCACCTCTGGCTAGCAGATCATCCTGAGCCACGCCGACCATCAGAATGAAACGAAACAGGGAGAGCAGCGAGTTGATCTCCAAAATAACCCACCCCAAAGTGTGTCTGATTTGGAGACAGCCACTTGGGATCCTATGCTTCAGGTGCTCTGACCCTGCCCAGCTGCTGAGGAATATCTAAGGCTTCAGCTCCTAATATGTCTTTTCCATGTCTAAAGTCTAGGATTTAGAGAAATTTCTTCCTTATCCACCCCTGGCTACCTCTGGGAAGGTGCATCTGAGCGGTGGGACCTGGAAATAGACAGAGGGCTGCGCAGATCAGGCAGAGCAGCATCTAGCTCTGTGAGCATATGAGAGTGTGTCCTGAAAGATACTATCTGCTGGGAAGGCACCAAAGCACAGTACAAAGGAGGCCACACCTCCCAACTCGCCTCTCCGCAAATCACATCACAGACACAGCTTGTGTTTAAGGAGCTGGCCTTCCTGCCCCATCCCCACCTCTCTCACTCACACACACACACAAACCCGCGCGCACGCATACAAAATAATTTCCAATCTCCAAATCTTTTAGGAGGTGGGAGAAGAGTTTAAAGATATTTGTATAGAAAGACTTGAGCCTCCGGAGGCCTCCCTTTCCTCTTCCTTCCCCCCTCCCCCTGCATTCTCTCTTACTTTCTCTCTCTACCTTGTTTCGTCTGTACAATGTATGTAAGGAGAGTGAAATTTACCATTTGTCTGTACTATTCTTTCATTGTTGGAAAAAAGCACAAAATGATTCCATGGGCTTGGGGTATTGATAAGCAGGAGCAAAGACAGTAGGGGATATTACCTGAGAGCAAAGAAACTATGGGCCAAACCCTGCAACAAGGCACACAAAGACAATAGGAGTTTTGCCATGATTCAGTGGGCACAGGATTAGCCTTAGTCTTTACTCAGGCTACATTCCCATTGTAGTCAGTAGGGATTTTGTCTGAGTAAGGTCTGAAGGACTTGGCATTGGACATGAAGCAGAATCAGCATTTAGAAGCATAAATCTGAAGGGGGGGGGGCTTTGGGGAAGAAAGGTGAGTAAAACACCAAAATAACCAGGGGAAGGAGAATAAAGATTAATCTGCAGGGGCTGATGCAGGTAACCTAACAGGTCTTTCTGATCTCTAACTCCTAGGATTCTCTGAATCAGGCAGTCTAAGTGTAAGTGTCAAACTGAACTGACCTGGAATAAAACATAAAATTGTCACTGATAAAGTTGCAGATGACACAAAAATTGGGGGAGTAGTAAATATTGATGGGGATAGGTCCTGATGCAGAGCAATCTGGATTGCTTGATAAACTGGGTACAAGCAGGGGCAGCTCCAGGCACCAGCGCAGCAAGCGCGTGCCTGCGGCGGCAAGCTGCGGGGGGCGGCAGTCAGGCTGCCTTCGGCAGCATGCCTGCGGGAGGTCTGCCGGTCCCGCGGCTTTGGCGGTAATTCGGCGGCGGGTATGCCGAAGGCACGGGATCGGCGGACCTCCCGCAGGCATGCCACCGAAGGCTGCCTGACTGCCATGCTTGGGGCAGCAAAATACATAGAGCCTGGGTACAAGCAAACAATATGTGTTGTAATACTGCTAAATGTAAATTTCTATACCTAGGAACAAAGAATGTAAGCCATACTTACACAGTGGGGGACTCTATTCTGGGAAGCAGTGACTCTGAAAAAGATTTGGGGGTCATGGTGGATAATCAGCTGAACATGAGCTCCCAATGTGACACTGTGTCCAAAAGGGCTGATGTGATCCTTGGATCCATAAACACAGGAATCTTGAATTGGAGCAGAGACAGAGAGGTTATTTTACCTCTTTCAGAGTAGCAGCTGTGTTAGTCTGTATCCGCAAAAAGAACAGGAGTACTTGTGGCACCTCAGAGACTAACAAATTTATTAGAGCATAAGCTTTCATGGACTACAGCCCACTTCTTCGGATGCATACCGAAGAAGTGGGCTGTAGTCCACGAAAGCTTATGCTCTAATAAATTTGTTAGTCTCTAAGGTGCCACAAGTACTCCTGTTATTTTACCTCTGTATTTGGCACAAGTGCAACCACTGCTGGAATACTGTGTCCAGCTCTGGTGTCCACAGTTCAAGAAGGATGTTGGTAACTTGGAGAGGGTTCAGAGAAGAAACATGAGAATGATTAAAGGATTAGAAAACCTGCCTTATATTTATAGACTCACAGAGCTCAATCTATTTAGCTTAACAAAGAGAAGGTTAAGAGGTGACTTGATTACAGTCTATAAGCATCTACATGGGGAACAAATATTTAATAGTGGACTCTTCAGTCAGACAAAGAAAGGTATAACATGATCCAATGGCTGGAAGTTGAAGCTAGACAAATTCAGACTGGAATTAAGGTGTAAATTTTTAACAGTGAGCATAATTAACCATTGGAACAATTTACCAAAGGAAGTGGTGGATTCATCATCACTGAACATTTTAAAATCAAAATTGGATGTTTTTCTAAAAGATACTGTAGAATTATTTTGGGTAAAGTTCTATGGGCTGGGTAATAAAGGAGGTCGGACTAGATGATCACCAGGGCCAGCTCCAGGCACCAGCTTACCAAGCAGGTGCTTGGGGCGGCCACTTCGGAGGGGGGCGGCACGTCCAGCTGTTTGGCAGCAATTTGGCGGAGGTCCCTCACTCCTGCTCGGAGCGAAGGACCTCCCACCGAATTGCCGCTGCAGATCACGATCACGGATTTTTTTTTTTTGGCTGCTTGGGGCGGCCAAAACCCTGGAGCCGGCCCTGATGATCACAATGATCTCTTCTGGTCATGGAACTTATGAATCTCTGAACTCGGCGGGGGGGGGGGGGAGGTGCATTCCTCACTGCAATCAGTGACGGCTCAGAGATTAATGCCAGCCAGGAGAGACAGCAGGTGGTGGGAGGGATACAGTCTTTGGATAATTAAATCAACACACACAGCCCTCCTGTTTTTCCTGGAAAGTGGGAGGAGTAGGCAAGCCAGGGTTGAAGTTAGATAAGGCTCTTAGATACCAAGATGATAGGCATCTTACAAATACCTAAGGTAGATAGACAGATAAGTCCCCATTTAGTTGAGCTGCTCTCCCCACCCCCGCTGTTGGGTTACTGGCTCTTGGCGCATAGTTGGCATTCTCTCTCTGGGGGGTGGGGTGGGGGCATTGTCATACCTGCAGGCTAAGGCTAACAATCAGAAGGACTCTAGTGTGTAAATGTTACACCTCTAATTTAAATAGATTAAACCCAGTGCTGATTGTACAGCCACTACAGACCAGCAGTGGGAAAGGGTTCTCTCTCTCTCTCTCTTCCCCCATCCCAATGTTGTGTAGGGAAAATGTGTCAATTTGCACTGATGCAGGGAAAAGAAATGTAATTTTGTAACTAGTGTCATCGTGCAGCCCCAAGGGCATAGAGAAGGGTGGGCAGTGCAGTGTGAGTGATGTGTCTCAAGGAGACAAGGGGCTGGTCACTTTAAAAGGTGATGTGGCTAGGTGAAAGGGAATGTATAGCAAAAAGAAGAACAGGAGGACTTGTGGCACCTTAGAGACTAACAAATTTATTAGAGCATAAGCTTTCGTGGACTACAGCCCACTTCTTCGGATGCATATAGAATGGAACATATATTGAGGAGATATATATACACACATACAGAGAGCATAAACAGGTGGGAGTTGTCTTACCACCTCTGAGAGGCCAATTAATTAAGAGAAAACAAACTTTTGTATGTATAGCGATACACATTCCTTCCCAAAGCTGTCCCAAGCAGCTCTAAGTGCTGCCCCTTTGCAGTGGTACCACAATGTAGCCATGGATGAAAGAGGATACAAGGATGCACAGCGTCTGCAGACTAGAAACACAGTTACTAGCTCAGCCACACACAAATACACACACATACATACTTGGGGAGCTGGTCCTTCAGCTTCAAACACACTTGAGCTAAAGAAGTATTCCAACAATAATTGTAGGTCTCTGACCCTTTCTGTGGCACAGCCACTGGAGGGCATCATGACACAACACACATACGCACACAGCACCCAGACATTGCAAGAGGGCATTTTCTCTGCTTACAGCAGTGAATGTGGTCAAGGTGAATTGCCAGCATGGTCAACAGATGGAAGCTGGCTACACCATGGGAGAACATTCCAGAGGCCAAAGCTGGTTGTCAGACAAAACATTGTAAAGATCTTTGTGGGTGAAGGAAGGCTGCAGAGCACGTGTAATAGTGATCTCATGGAAAGATGACACACAACACAATGGTCAGAGCAAGTGGTAATGACAAGGGGGGATGATGGTTCTGTGGTGGCACACATTCAGGTATCTTTTGGGGGAAGCTCAATCAGCATTGTGTACATCACAGCCAGCACAGGCCTGGCCTTGAGAGCAAGTGAAACAGCAGAGATAAGTCAGTAGATGGTACTATTTGGTGGAGAGACAAATGAAAAACAGAGATAGTCACAAGGACAGAGAATGGCCATTTGTACATGTCTACTACAAGTTAAGGGGAACTGCAAAACCACATTGACCACTGGGAACATGCTGTTTGGTCATATGGTCTTGCCATGGTTATAAAACAGTCCTTCTGCTCTCTTCTGGACATAGTGTACTTCTGTCATCACCACCAGTTGCTAGCTATCCATAAGCCACGTAGAGCACTAACTGAGCAGATATGTGGTTTCCCATTCTTGTTTTCATGCATCAAATCTTGCTGTGTGTGGATTTGCACTAGATGGCCTAATCAGTCCCCAGTATTTCCCATTCCAGTGCAAGGAAATGTTGTTTTAAATCAGTGGACTGGGAGTCAAGAGTTTTACGTTCTACTTTTAGCTTTGACACTGACTCACTGCAAGACCTTGTGCAAGTCACTTCCCCTCTCTGTGCCTGAGTCATCAGCAAAATGAAAATAACAATACTTCCCTAACTCTTAGTGGTATTTTGAGGCTTAAAGGGCCTAATCTATACCCAAAGTTACATTACGCAACAGCCAGCATGAATTCCAGCTATTAGCCTAGAGCAAACTGGACCCTTGTCTTTTAAAGTCTATTTCAATGATGGTCGAGTCAGAAGAAAACATCAGGATCATGTCTGTTTGCAGCGTGATATAGCAACACTAGAGCCTTTGCCCTTGGGTGTTGACAATCTGGAGGAGCTGAGGCCAATGGAGGAGGCAGTTTTATTGTCTTGACTGTAATCAAAATCGTTGATGCCAGCATATGCAAATTAAATTATAGTCACAAATGATTCTATAGGGTATGGATTCCTTTAGTCTAAATGGCTCTGACCCTTGCATTCCTTGTTCTCGCAAAACTCCTGTTGACTTCAGTGGGAATTTTGAGTTCCCAAGGAATGTAGAA